GCTGATAACTCGGGGACGATGTGCACGCCTGAGATGAGAGTGGCCTTCAAAGACGCAGGTCAGTCTGTTCTTCTTCTGCAGGAACAAACGAACGTTCGTTTAATGTGACGAGCTTCGAGTCGTCGACCTGACCCGGGTCTTTGCTGGCGTCTCGTCTTGTTTCGTGCTGTGATTGGCTCACCAGCAGCTGTCGACCACTTCCTGTCTGTTGCTCATTAAACGTGTTTGCGATTCTGTTTGGGGCGGGGCCTCAGGCGAAACTCCCCACCAGTTTCTTTCCACTGGCGACTTTATGCTAAGGAACAGGAAGGGCCACGTAATAAAACCACCTGACTTCATTTAACAGGTGATGCGTTTCAGCCGAGCTCGGGACACGCCTCCGTGGGGACGTCCTCCGTGATGTCACAGATGCTGTGGGCTGTTTGCGTGCGGACTGCGAGTTGTGTTGTGGCGACGCGCTCGGCTCTGGCGTTGCGATGCTTTCCCTTGTCTTCACCCTGAGAGGTGGAGCTGCTGCAGTTTGTGGTTTAAAGTGTGAGTCACGGTGATTCCCCGCTGACTCACACTTTAAACAGAACACTCCTCTTTCTCCTCCGTGGCTGGAGTGAGGAAGACGCCTCGTCTTTCCTGTTGCTGCTAAACAAATGAAAACAAAGCCTGCAGACTTTGTCTCCTGCTCACTAACATCTCCTCTTCTCCTGCTCCTCCTGCAGTCTTTCTGTCTGTCTAACTTGTGTTTCCTCCTCCTGCTGCTGCTGCTGTGGATTTACGGGCAGCGAGCTGAGACGGTACGTTTCCTCTCTGCTGGCAGCATGAAGGTCACCTCAGGGTCAAAGTTTCAGGATCTGCAGCGAGTTCAGCTGATTCTGATGTGCTCGCTCACTGAACCCAGATCAGTGTCTGACTGCTCCTTATCATCCAGTCTGGTGTTTCATGTTTGATCGGTTTAAATAGAAATATTGATTCGTGTTGCTTTCATATGATCTGAGAAACATTTAAACTAAACTCTGGAAGTTTCAACGTCAAAGACATGAATGCAGACGTCTGGTGTATCGTTACAAACCTCCAGTGTTGGTCACAGTTAACGTGAGACGGCGAGTTCTCACAATTCATCAGCGAAGACCGCGGCAGAGCGCAGTAGTTTGTGTGTTTGAGCTCGCTGCATTACACCGTAGGTGGCAGTGATTTGGTCGTCTGTCAGAGCACCTTTAACTGACATCACGACCAATCGAGCTGCAGCTACACGATGGCGTCTGCAGGAGTAAATAGAAAGCTTACACTGACGAACTTCAGTGACCATTATTTACCAGTAATGATGATCAAGTCTGTTAGCTCTGATAGCCGCTAACAGCTACCATCTTCCTGCAGGTTTCTCTCTCAATAACAACATCTACCAGCTGCTGGTGGCCCGATACTCCGACCCCGACATGACCATCGACTTCGACAACTTCGTGGGATGTCTGATGAGGCTGGAGATGATGTTCAGTGAGTTGGCGCTTCGCTGCTAACGAGCTCAGAGAGGCCAGTCGGTCTGTGGGGGAGTCAGTCTGTGGGGGAGTCAGTCTGTGGGAGGTCAGTCTGTGGGGGAGTCAGTCTGTGGG